TCTGCTCTGCTCGTGTGGCTGTGCAGGAGCGGCCACCACCCCACGGCCCGCTGCGCCCCTCCCCCACTTCCTTGGCCATGTGCCCGCTGCCCTGTTCCCCGCTCCTCCTCAGACATCCCACAGCTCTGGTGGCCTACAGTCTCCCACACACCAGGCGTCCCGGCGCCTCCCCAGGGCCCAGGGACAGGGTGTGGCCAGCAGGGAGCTCTGCCCCGGGGAGAGCAGGGGCACAGCTCACGCTCACCCCCAAGGGACGAGGAGGTGGGCCCCAGGCACCGCCCACATCCACCCTGCATGCTGCCCCTCCCCCCATGCTGAGGATGCAGCATAAACCAGGAGCAGACCCTGCTCTGGGGGTGGGGGTGGGGGGACCAGCCACAGTTTGGCAACGACGATTCTGACCCAATGGGGCAGCCACAACAAGGTGCTGGGGCACCTGAGGGCTTCCTGGAGGAGGTGGCCTTGGAAGAGCTGGGGGTGCCAGGCACGTGCAGATGGGGGTGCAGGGGCTCTCTGGTCACTTGGGTACAGCCGGCCAGGAGGCCCTGGGGCACTCAGGGCTCCTGCCCTGTAAGCCTGGCTGGGCACCCCCGAGGGGTCCCCAGGGCGCCTGAGGCCCGCCCGGCCCGGGGGGGGCTGCTTGACCATGTCTCTGCGGTGCTGACACCGGCCTCAGAGGCCCTTCCTGCCTGTGCTTCATTCTGCATCCCCCCAAATTCCTAGGGTGCCAGGCCCCCAGAAGCCTTCCTGGCTCCCGGCGTCTCCCCTGAAACTCCCAGGCCACCAGAGGAGCAAGAGCAGTGGGAGCTCCCTGCAGGCTTGGAGTTTGGGGGCTCCCTGGTGGCACTCAGGGGCAGCCCAGCAAGCTCCTGGGGGCAGAGGGGGACACACCGGCAGGAGGTCACCCAGCAGGGGAGGGTGGCAGGCCTGTCTTCCAGACGCTGTCTGGCCAGCGGTCGGCTGTGGGGTCCCTCCCAAGGGAAGCTGCAGTCACCCTGGGGCCGGCTGGCGGGAGAGCTCAGGGCCCTGGTGGGGCTGGAGGAAGGGAAGGGGCAGAGGCTACCTTGTCTGTGAGGGGATGGGGTGGGGGGAGTGTTCCATCGTGTCTGCGCTGCAGCACGCCGACCCCAGGGGGCACTGTGGACCCCGATTCAAGTCTTGGATCCACTGGTCATCCCAGGGGCCCCAGGGAAAGCAGCCGAGTCAGGCCTGCGTCCCCGAGGATGACAGGGATGGGGACCAGGACAGTGACAACCCCGCAGATGGAGAGGAGGCGGAACACGGGGTCCCTGATGTGCGACCTTGGGCGTCACTCAGTCTTGGAGCCTCAGTTTCTCCATCTGTAGAGTGGGGATAGCAAAGACCTCATAGCCGGGCACGGGGAGAGCCCAGTGCAGGGAAGCGGGCGTTGTTGTTTGTACTATTACTCCTGGTCGCTCCCCTCCCAGTCATGGCTGCTGGCGGCCAGCCGCAGGCTCGAGCCTTCCCGGGCGGGGGGGAGGGGGGTAACCCTCCGCTGCTGAGGAGGCCACTGAAGAGACCACCCGGTCCCCCTGGCAGGAGGACAGAGGGGAGGAGAGGGCTTTCCCGGTGCCACCGGGGGCCGATGACACCTGCAGTGCAGAGCCGGGGGCGGAGGACAGGGCTCAGGTGACCCGACCAGGTGCTGCCCCTCCCCCTCCCCATCTGGAGGCTCCGTGTTCCAGGAGGGGGGGCTCTGGGGGCCTGGCCTCAAGGGCGGCCTGGCAGTCTGGGGTCTGCCGAGCTCCTGGGGGCTGACCCCTCTGTCTGGGCTCCACGCTCTGACTCAGCAGGAACTGGGCCCGGAGCCCTGTGCCCGGCCTGCCCCGGGATGCCCAGCTGGCCACCCAGCCAGGCCCCGTGCCCCGCCGAGCTAGTGTCGAACATCTGCACAGAGTTCCCTGTGCCACCCCGACTGGCCCCGGCCATTCTGGCCATCTGGTCAGCAGGCCGTGGCCATTTCTGTCCCTTCCTTGGAGCCCTTGGCTGAGCCCTCCTGGGTCTCCCTCAGCCTCCTCCACCTGCTTAGGCCTCTGCTTCTCAGAAGAGCCTTTCGGAGCCTGGCTGGGTGACCTGGGAGTGTGGGCTCCCCTTTGGACCTCAGTCTTCCCATCTGTAAAATGGAGCGACCAGACCAGATGCCTCACACAGCCCAGGTTCCATGCTTGGGAGCGCCGGAGACCAGGCCCCTCTGGAGGCCGCATCAGCCGGGCC